GCTGCAGGAGGAGCCTGTCTCTTCAGTGTGTGGTGGTGCTGGAGGAGGAGCCTGTCTCTTCAGTGTGTGGTGGTGCTGGAGGAGGAGCCTGTCTCTTCAGTGTGTGGTGGTGCTGCAGGAGGAGCCTGTCTCTTCAGTGTGTGGAGGTGCTGCAGGAGGAGGCCTGTCTCTTCAGTGTGTGGTGGTGCTGCAGGAGGAGCCTGTCTCTTCAGTGTGTGGAGGTGCTGCAGGAGGAGGAGCCTGTCTCTTCAGTGTGTGGAGGTGCTGCAGGAGGAGCCTGTCTCTTCAGTGTGTGGAGGTGCTGCAGGAGGAGCCTGTCTCTTCAGTGTGTGGAGGTGCTGCAGGAGGAGGAGTCTGTCTCTTCAGTGTGTGGAGGTGCTGCAGGAGGAGTCTGTCTCTTCAGTGTGTGGTGGTGCTGCAGGAGGAGTCTGTCTCTTCAGTGTGTGGTGCTGCACTGCAGGAGGAGCCTGTCTCTTCAGTGTGTGGAGGTGCTGCAGGAGGAGCCTGTCTCTTCAGTGTGTGGAGGTGCTGCAGGAGGAGCCTGTCTCTTCAGTGTGTGGAGGTGCTGCAGCTGGCGTGCACATGACAATAAAGCCTTGGAACTTGGATTGGATCGTGTGTCTAACGAGGAACCTGATTGATCTCTGAGTTAGGGCCGTTGCTGCAGCAGAGAGGCAACGAGGCTCTCTGTTTTATTTGGATTGCATTAACTCAGGGTGATCGAACTCACGTTGCCAGGACAACCTCACGCCATGTTGGGTCATGTGACCTCTGCTGGTGTGTGTGTGTGTGTGTGTGTGTGTGTGTGTGTGTGTGTGTGTGTGTGTGTGTGTGTGTGTGTGTGTGGAGCATGTGGCACAAAAAGTGATGTAATCAATGTGACTCGTGATGCTGCTATTGACACCAAAGCCTGTAGAGAGGTGTAGGAATGAGTCCTAAAACCAGGGAATGAGTCAGCATTTTATAACTCCCTGGTCTGAATGTGAAATAAGGTCTGAAGAGATTTTAACGTTTAGTTTTACGACATTAAATACGTCAGTGATTACCCCACTGGTGGATTTAAAAACAGAGGTTGCTAACAAGTGTCTAAATGAGACGACTAAACGTCATCACGCCCAACATTAGCCTCCTTTAGCTTAGCGGTGGTGACGTGAAGTCATGTGACCGTGCTGTGGTTCCTTTATAGCCCAACATTAGCCACCTTTAGCTTAGCGGTGGTGACGTGAAGTCATGTGACCGTGCTGTAGTTCCTTTATAGCCCAACATTAGCCACCTTTAGCTTAGCGGTGGAGACGTGAAGTCATGTGACCGTGCTGTAGTTCCTTATAGCCCAACATTAGCCACCTTTAGCTTAGCGGTGGTGACGTGAAGTCATGTGACCGTGCTGTAGTTCCTTTATAGCCCAACATTAGCCACCTTTAGCTTAGCGGTGGTGACGTGAGGTCATGTGACCGTGCTGTAGTTCCTTTATAGCCCAACATTAGCCACCTTTAGCTTAGCGGTGGTGACGTGAAGTCATGTGACCGCGCTGTAGTTCCTTTATAGCCCAACATTAGCCCCCTTTAGCTTGGCGGTGGTGACGTGAAGTCATGTGACCGTGCTGTAGTTCCTTTATAGCTTAACATTAGCCTCCTTTAGCTTAGCGGTGGTGACGTGAAGTCATGTGACCGTGCTGTAGTTCCTTTATAGCCCAACATTAGCCTCCTTTAGCTTAGCGGTGGTGACGTGAAGTCATGTGATCGTGCTGTAGTTCCTTTATAGCCCAACATTAGCCTCCTTTAGCTTAGCGGTGGTGACGTGAAGTCATGTGACCGTGCTGTAGTTCCTTTATAGCCCAACATTAGCCTCCTTTAGCTTAGCGGTGGTGACGTGAAGTCATGTGACCGTGCTGTAGTTCCTTTATAGCCCAACATTAGCCACCTTTAGCTTAGCGGTGGTGACGTGAAGTCATGTGACCGTGCTGTAGTTCCTTTATAGCCCAACATTAGCCACCTTTAGCTTAGCGGTGGTGACGTGAGGTCATGTGACCGTGCTGTAGTTCCTTTATAGCCCAACATTAGCCACCTTTAGCTTAGCGGTGGTGACGTGAAGTCATGTGACCGCGCTGTAGTTCCTTTATAGCCCAACATTAGCCCCCTTTAGCTTAGCGGTGGTGACGTGAAGTCATGTGACCGTGCTGTAGTTCCTTTATAGCTTAACATTAGCCTCCTTTAGCTTAGCGGTGGTGACGTGAAGTCATGTGACCGTGCTGTAGTTCCTTTATAGCCCAACATTAGCCTCCTTTAGCTTAGCGGTGGTGACGTGAAGTCATGTGACCGTGCTGTAGTTCCTTTATAGCCCAACATTAGCCTCCTTTAGCTTAGCGGTGGTGACGTGAAGTCATGTGACCGTGCTGTAGTTCCTTTATAGCCCAACATTAGCCACCTTTAGCTTAGCGGTGGTGACGTGAAGTCATGTGACCGTGCTGTAGTTCCCTTATAAGCCAACATTAGCTTTTTACTTCAGAATCATAAAGTGGGGTTCACATGTGGAGATTATCCCGCTGAACTAAATGTGTGTTATTTTCTGCAATAATCCAAAATAGAGAAATCCCATTGGAGCAGGGAGATGCTGCCTTCAGGGACCAACACAGAAATACAACATCCCTGCACTACTCTTTGTTCTGTTCTGATGTAAAATTGAATGAAAGAGGGATGAAGTGTGAAAGGAAGCAGATTGGATGGGTGAAGCTGGACAAAATGGATGAAGGAGAAATAATAAGCTGAAATAATGATGTCGTCCGTGAATATAAACGGCATGACATATATCATACATCTAACTACTAGATATGTTAGTAAAGGGGAGAGGGGGTAACAGAGAGGAATTCATAACAGTATAGTTTATTAAGGCTAGACATGTCCAAAAAGATCCCCCCAAAATAAAGCTCCGTTTATCCTTTTGATGTGTGTATAACTCTCAATGTATTTACAGTGTACTTGTTGTTTTTGCTTATCTTTTGTAACGTGAGCATGACTTTTTATTTAAGTCTATTTATTTTTCCTTTTCCTTGCACAGCAGGACAAATGAAGGATTTCTCATTCTGTATTTGTTTACTTCTATACATTGAAATAAGCATACAATGACCCAGATGTAAATACAGTCTGAAACAAACCTTAACACAGATATTTGAGAATGTAATCAGGAATATTTCTACATTGCATATCACCAGAGGGAGAGGAGAGGGGAGGGGAGGGGAGGGGGGGGAGTGTGGGAGTGGAGTGTCCTGAGTGTGCAGACTGTAAACAGGTGGGAGCAAGCTGGGTTTCAGGGCGAGGCATCGCACAGAGGGACATTTCCACCGAGCAGCTCACAAGACAGGAAGTGGGGAAGAGGAGGGGGGGGGAAGAGGAGGAGGGGGGGGGGGGGGGGGGGGGGGGGTAGGTGGGCACAGAGATATTTTGAAGAAACAGAATAAAGAGTAATGCTTACTTTGGAAAGTCGCTTGTGAGACTAGCATGCAATCAGGAGAAGAACAGAGACACATCAGAAAGTAAAGAAGAACCAGTCGTCATCAGATGGAAAACAGTATCATGTGACAGCAGCAGTGTGTAGTGGAGACAACATAACGCTAAACAAACAACAACAACAAGTGGATTGAACAGCAGACGGATGAGGACAGAATGAGCGTCGCTGAACATTTGCTCGAATGCTTTGCAGGAAAAAGAGCCACGTGCTCCTTCCTCTAAATCCATCACTGAGGTCTGAAATACAACTCTTTTGTTTTTGGAGAATCATCATCTGTCAACGGATAACCAGAGCTTCAGGTCGGCTGATCAGCTGCTGCTGGTAGCGCCTAAGACCAGGCTCAAAACCCGAGGGCCCGGAGCCTTCTCAGCGGCGGGCCCCAGGCTCTGGAACACTCTGCCACTCCATGTGAGGTCGGCCCGGACCCTGGGGCTTTTAAATCCTCACTGAAGACTCACTTCTTCTCTGTGGCCTTCTAGTCAGAGCGGAGCACGACTCCTGACTTTTCCCTGTGTTTGATTTTTATATTTCTGTTGTAATTTATTGTCTTCTGTTTGCTATCGCAGTATTTTTATTTGAAGTGTTTTTATTGCACGTACAGCACTTTGGCTCGACCAAACATCGTTTTAAAATGTGCTATAAAACTTGATTTGATTTGATAACAGGTGCAATCCAGCTTCAACTCTTCCTTCAGGAGAAACGCTGCAGCTTCAGAAAGGATGCAGATATAAAAACCCAAAGGTTCCACATGAAGAAACATCTCCATCAACAACACATGCAGCGTTTAGAGAACATCCAGCAGCTTGAGGAGACATGGCAGCGTTTAGAGAACATCCAGCAGCTTGAGGAGACATGGCAGCGTTTAGAGAGCATCCAGCAGCTTGAGGAGACATGGCAGCGTTTAGAGAACATCCAGCAGCTTGAGGAGACATGGCAGCGTTTAGAGAGCATCCAGCAGCTTGAGGAGACCAGGGGACACTAAAGAGTGACGCACACAGCTGGGAGACCAGGGGACACTAAAGAGTGACGCACACAGCTGGGAGACCAGGGGACACTAAAGAGTGACGCACACAGCTGGGAGACCAGGGGACACTAAAGAGTGACACACACAGCTGGGAGACCAGGGGACACTAAAGAGTGACGCACACAGCTGGAGACCAGGGGACACTAAAGAGTGACGCACACAGATGGGAGACCAGGGGACACTAAAGAGTGACGCACACAGCTGGAGACCAGGGGACACTAAAGAGTGACGCACACAGAAGCTGAGCTTTTAGTAAACGCTGCCATGTCTCCTCAAGCTGCTGGATGTTCTCTAAACGCTGCATGTCTCCTCTCTAAACGCTGCCATGTCTCCTCAAGCTGCTGGATGTTCTCTAAACGCTGCCATGTCTCCTCAAGCTGCTGGATGTTCTCTAAACGCTGCCATGTCTCCTCAAGCTGCTGGATGTTCTCTAAACGCTGCCATGTCTCCTCAAGCTGCTGGATGTTCTCTAAACGCTGCCATGTCTCCTCAAGCTGCTGGATGTTCTCTAAACGCTGCCATGTCTCCTCAAGCTGCTGGATGCTCTCTAAACGCTGCCATGTCTCCTCAAGCTGCTGGATGCTCTCTAAACGCTGCCATGTCTCCTCAAGCTGCTGGATGTTCTCTAAACGCTGCCATGTCTCCTCAAGCTGCTGGATGTTCTCTAAACGCTGCCATGTCTCCTCAAGCTGCTGGATGTTCTCTAAACGCTGCCATGTCTCCTCAAGCTGCTGGATGCTCTCTAAACGCTGCCATGTCTCCTCAAGCTGCTGGATGTTCTCTAAACGCTGCCATGTCTCCTCAAGCTGCTGGATGCTCTCTAAACGCTGCAGGTGTTGTTGATGGAGACGTTTCTTCATGTGGAACCTTTGGGTTTCTATATCTGCATCCTTTCTGAAGCTGCAGAGCGTTTCCACCTGTCGGCTCTGTATGATTGGCTTAGCTGTATCATCACGGCCTCTATGAGTAAAGTTTGTTGTGGAAATGTGTTCACTAGCTGCAGGGAAACCAACAAACCTTTTGTCGGATGTTTTCTGTCAGTATTTTTGGACTTTTTTCTTATAAGGTGCAGAAACGAACCTTTTAACAACAAGCACGACAAAAGCTCAGCGAGATGTGGAAATGAAAAGCTGAAATGGAGAGGAAGGGGGGAGAGTGATCGCTGCGACTCACTGGTTACAAATCAGGGCTTTGAAGTCAATAACCAATCACAGAGAAGAAAAAAAAAAGTACCCAACTGTTCTTTGTCGGGTGTGAGTTTTGCTTAATGTGAAATGTTGTCCTGTAAATGATCTTGTTTCCCTGTAAGAGAGTCTGTCACTCAGAAGGAGTCGCCATGCTTGCATTAAGCATTAAAAGAAAAGATCTTAAAATACTTTATACATCGATAAAGTGTGCTTCTTTGCATATTTGCCTAACTCGTCATTTTCTCCAGACAGCAGCTGATTTGAAGTTGCATCGACAACAGAATACCACCTCTGACGTGTTAAGATATATATGCCGTTAATAATTGTGCAATATAAACCTGGCTGCTAAATCTTCAGAACTGCTACAGGAGGTGTATTTTGTAAATTGTGTAATTTTTGTATTTTCTTTATCTTTAATTTTTTTTTTAATGCATTGGCACTATCTGTTGGACGAATAAAGGTATTCTGATTCTGATGTATCAGAGGTGTAGAGGAAGTAGTGGAGTACAAATACTTTGTTACTGTACTTAAGTACATGTTTCTGGTATCAGTACTTTACTCAACTACGACTTTTTAGTTTGACTTCTTACATGTTGAACCCAAATACCTGTACTTTCTACTTCTTACATGTTGAACCCAAATACCTGTACTTTCTACTTCTTACATGTTGAACACAAATACCTGTACTTTCTACTTCTTACATGTTGAACACAAATACCTGTACTTTCTACTTCTTACATGTTGAACACAAATACCTGTACTTTCTACTTCTTACATGTTGAACTCAAATACCTGTACTTTCTACTTCTCACATGTTGAACTCAAATACCTGTACTTTCTACTTCTTACATGTTGAACACAAATACCTGTACTTTCTACTTCTTACATGTTGAACTCAAATACCTGTACTTTCTACTTCTTACATGTTGAACTCAAATACCTGTACTTTCTACTTCTTACATGTTGAACACAAATACCTGTACTTTCTACTTCTTACATGTTGAACTCAAATACCTGTACTTTCTACTTCTCACATGTTGAACTCAAATACCTGTACTTTCTACTTCTTACATGTTGAACACAAATACCTGTACTTTCTACTTCTTACATGTTGAACTCAAATACCTGTACTTTCTACTTCTCACATGTTGAACACAAATACCTGTACTTTCTACTTCTTACATGTTGAACTCAAATACCTGTACTTTCTACTTCTCACATGTTGAACACAAATACCTGTACTTTCTACTTCTTACATGTTGAACCCAAATACCTGTACTTTCTACTTCTTACATGTTGAACACAAATACCTGTACTTTCTACTTCTTACATGTTGAACACAAATACCTGTACTTTCTACTTCTTACATGTTGAACACAAATACCTGTACTTTCTACTTCTTACATGTTGAACTCAAATACCTGTACTTTCTACTTCTCACATGTTGAACTCAAATACCTGTACTTTCTACTTCTTACATGTTGAACACAAATACCTGTACTTTCTACTTCTTACATGTTGAACTCAAATACCTGTACTTTCTACTTCTCTCATTTTCCAAACAGCTGGTTCCTTTAGTCTGAATGTGTGTTTGGTGCGTGATCATTATTCTTTAGAGTCATTGCGTGCCTATTGATTTGAACACGATCCGTGTATCCATCATTTCCTGGTCTTCTCTAAAGAAGAGGGACCAATGGAAACGTTGTCATGTTGCCGTTGTTCAGCATGGAAACATTCATTAGCTAACAATGACATTATTGTTCTATTAATATAAAGGGAGGTCAGGTACTCTTTAAAGCAGCTGCTAGTTATGGGTACTTTCTACTGAAGTACATTTCAAAGCCTCTTTACTTTGACTTGAGGAAATAAGTTTAGTCAGTACTTCTACTTTCACCAGAGTATTTTTAAACACGAGTATCTCTACTTCTACTTGAGTAAAGTGTGTACTCCTCCTCTCTGGTGCTACGGAGCTTCACCTGGTCTCCTACCTTTGAGTTCTTCCCGCCGCTCCTCGCTGACTGCAGGGAGTACGTTCTCTGGACGGCCGTCTCAGGCGTGGAGGGGGATTTGTCGGAGGAGTGATCTGATCCTTTCTCCACCATGTTCTCTCCCTCCGGGCTGTGAGGGGTGGGCGAGCGCGAGCGTTTCCGCAGCACAGGCGAGCAGGCGGGGGTGCTCTTGTTTGAGTTACTGGCAGTGCTGAAAGACAAAGAGACAGAAAGGGGGGATGAGACATGTTAGATGTGGTCATAAAAACCCTGTAGATACTCCTTGAATACGTCAACATCAAGTGAGGTAGTGTTGTTAGTCCAGAGGGGGAGAAGTACTCAAATGTTTTAACTGTTGAACTGATGTTCCCTGTGTGTTAGGTGTTAGTGCATGTAAATGGTCAGCAGAGGCTCAAATCTGTTGATTGCCAGGTACACATACAAGGAATTTGCTTTGGTGTGTGGTGCTGCAAACATAAACAACATGATGAAATAAGTTGTAGGAGAGGATCAAAAATAGAACGAATATTAAAACTAAATATATTTAAAACTAAAAATGATTTAACATTATAAAAGACAAGTATTTACTCCAGATATAAATATACGAAACAAACTAAACAACTTAGTAGAATAAATAAATGGGTATATGTCAATGTTAACATCATGCAAGGTTGTGTTTTAGGGCCTATTGTGCCTTTTTGGTGTGTTCTCTCTCCTGTAGTGAGTTATATAGGTTTTAGTTCATGTAAATGGTCTGCAGAGGCTAAAGTCCCTGTGTTTCTGATGATGATTCTGAAATGGGCCTTTAGACAGAACCAGTACTTTTACTTTTTGTGAAATCTTTGACAGACAGATGGAAGGACTGTTGTCTTGAGACAGCTCCTTCTTTCCATCGTACGTTGCTATCAGGTAACCTTTGTGATCCTATATACACAATCTCCTTACACACACACACACACACACACACACACACACACACACACACACACACACACACACACACACACACACACACACACACACACACACACACACACACACACACACACACACACACACACACACACACACACACACACACACACACACACACACACACACAGAACAACAGGCTCAGTAAGTGATCTGAGCACGGTTACTGGACATGAAGTTATGCAAGCCCTTACGTCACCGCGGGCCAATGGCGTCTGTTTGTTACTGTCACAACACTAAAGAACAAGACAAAGAGGAACCAATAAAACACAGACACAGGGAAGTTCAATATCATATTGCTGTACAGCACTTTAAGAGACGGATTAGCCTTCAACAAAGCAGTCAATAGTGTAATGCCTCTATCAGAAGGCATTGCAAGTGGGCCGCCAAATCATTTGCAAAACATTATGATTTGTGTGGAAACATTTAATTATTAAGATTTGTTTGTATTTTAACCTCCTTTCCTTTCTCTTTCTCGACCCTCCTTAGCAACGGTCATTACAGTCCTTAGCAACGGTCATTACAGTCCTTAGCAACGGTTATTACAGTCCTTAGCAACGGTCATTACAGTCCTTAGCAACGGTCATTACAGTCCTTGACAGCGTTCTGTTCTACTGGATTGACAACGTGTCACATGTTCTGAATCAACCAATCAGAATCGAGTATTCAACTAAACCGTGCAATACAAATGTCTGTTTGTTACTGATGGCCAGCTCCTTTTTTCTAATTAAAATAAAAAGTACTCTGAGAACTTTATTTAGCCTCCGTATTGTTTATGTTTGAATGTTTCCCACGAAAAATGGTAGATTCTTAAGTTCGGCCTGAGTTGAAAAAGGTTGGTAACCGCTGCTCTACAGTCTAAGAGAATCCTACAGCTTATATACACCTCAAAGTGCACGTGTAGCTGACCTCTGACCTGACACAATATTGTGACGCATCTTCTGTCCCCCAAGACTTTAAATAATCCCAGGTTCAATTTCCCTTTTCTGCTGATACCTCACGGACCAATGGAGACAAATATTGGTCATAGAAATAGATCGGCCTCCTTTCAGAAACTAAACGAATACTCACTCGTATGGCTTGAAACTCGTGATTTAACAGATTCTACATCACCATGAATTAGTGATGTAGTGTTTCAGTGGTGGAACAGCCGCACAGAAAGCCCTCACATCTGCTTAGTGCTCGGATAGATGACGCTCGCCTGGTGTATCATATCAATTTATATGATTACCAAATGCTCTGCTGATCAGTGCTTTTCTCTGTCATGTGCATTGTGATCTCTGTCCACTGATTGGTCCCCACTGACCTGGTTAATCTCTGTTCAACCAGACGTCTACTGATGCAGGTGAAGACGACTGGACATTATGGATGAAGGAGGGGAGGACTTTTAAGAGTGAGTCCCCCAGCAGACGGGTTACACAGATCTCATAGATCTAACCAGGTGTGTTTGTAAAGAGGAGAAGTGGGTGCAGGAGAAAGCAGTAACAGATAGGAATTCATTACAGTATAGTTCATAAAGGTCAGAAATGCTTAGATCTAAAAGAAAATAATAAAAAATAAGGCTCTGTTTATACTTTTCATATATGAAGACGACTGCAGCACAGATGTGCAGAGCTGCAGATCCTTTGATGGCAGAAAGGATCATTCATATAGGGCATGCATGATAGTGTGTGTCTGGGTTACACACACCAGCCACACACACACATGCTACAACTTTAAAGCAAAGGACACGAAGTTCAAATTAAATCAATAGAAATAATGTTTTAGCTGTATGTTATTATTTTAAATAACAACAAGACAAATGACCTTTATTGGGACAAATACTAAAAACAAAAACTAGATTTAAAATTCTGTTTTGAGATTATTTTCAATATTATTGAATTCAACTTACATAACAACTTAAAAGCACATTTAGAACTCAAACTAAAAACAAAAAGTCTATGGATATATATATATATATATATAGCAAGGTTAACTCGATGTCTAAAGAAGCAGCGATATCTTGTCCTGTGGTTTGGAAACTCATCCCGAACCTGAGCAATGCAAGAAAGCCAGAGAGGATGAGATCAGAGTTCTGTCTCTGATGCTCTCCCTCCAGGCGGAGAGAGGCAGGACTCCCCGCTGAAGCGAATCCCCCGCATGTTGTTTTTAGCAGATGAGAGGAATTCACGGATCACCTCGCCTTTCCAGAAACACGACGGCAAACAAAGGCAACACGGATCCATCAGCAGCGTGAGAATGACTGAGCCTGATATCAGCAGAGAGCAGCTAACAAAAGCATCGTTCACTGAAGCTCTGCTAACAGCAGCTTCATGAAGCTCAACACTGAGGCGTGAAGAGAGACGCCATGCAGACACATCGTCTGCCCTGAGAGGATCAGGGTGTTACGTGAGAGATTATAAAGAGGTTTTTACCTGCAGGATAAAAGGCTTTTCAAACCTCTATTACATTTATCAGAAGCGACAGCAATAAACCATAAAGATAGAAACAAGAACAGCAAGAAACATGCAGATATATCAAGAGGTGTCGGGATGACCTGTTTTTGTAGGCCGACCCTGAAGGCAGCATCTCCCTGGTCCAATAGGATTTCTCCATGTGATTTTGGATTTCAGGTCACCACCGCTAAGCTAAAGGAGGCAAATGTTGGGCTATAAAGGAACTACAGCACGGTCACATGACTTCACGTCACCACCGCTAAGCTAAAGGAGGCTAATGTTGGGCTATAAAGGAACTACAGCACGGTCACATGACTTCACGTCACCACCGCTAAGCTAAAGGAGGCTAATGTTGGGCTATAAAGGAACTACAGCACGGTCACATGACTTCACGTCACCACCGCTAAGCTAAAGGTGGCTAATGTTGGGCTATAAAGGAACTACAGCACGGTCACATGACTTCACGTCTCCACCGCTAAGCTAAAGGAGGCTAATGTTGGGCTATAAAGGAACTACAGCACGGTCACATGACTTCACGTCACCACCGCTAAGCTAAAGGTGGCTAATGTTGGGCTATAAAGGAACTACAGCACGGTCACATGACTTCACGTCACCACCGCTAAGCTAAAGGTGGCTAATGTTGGGCTATAAAGGAACTACAGCACGGTCACATGACATCACGTCACCACCGCTAAGCTAAAGGTGGCTAATGTTGGGCTGTAAAGGAACTACAGCACGGTCACATGACTTCACGTCACCACCGCTAAGCTAAAGGTGGCTAATGTTGGGCTATAAAGGAACTACAGCACGGTCACATGACTTCACGTCACCACCGCTAAGCTAAAGGTGGCTAATGTTGGGCTATAAAGGAACTACAGCACGGTCACATGACTTCACGTCTCCACCGCTAAGCTAAAGGTGGCTAATGTTGGGCTGTAAAGGAACTACAGCACGGTCACATGACTTCACGTCACCACCGCTAAGCTAAAGGTGGCTAATGTTGGGCTATAAAGGAACTATAGCACGGTCACATGACTTCACGTCACCACCGCTAAGCTAAAGGTGGCTAATGTTGGGCTATAAAGGAACTACAGCACGGTCACATGACTTCACGTCTCCACCGCTAAGCTAAAGGAGGCTAATGTTGAGCCTGATGATGTTTAGTCGTCTCATTTAGAGACACCGCAGATTTTTTAATTCACTAGTGGGGTATTGACCAGTCACAACAGAGACCAATAAGAGCAGACTGGGCTCTGGTTTCAGACAGAGGGTGAAAAGAGGCGCTGCAGCACAGACAGTATGAGAAAAATAAAGAGCTTTTTGAACATTAAACATGGAGACACTACATACTGATATACACCTGAACATCAGCAGGAGAGGACTCTTTAAAGTAGAGACACTACATACTGATATACACCTGAACATCAGCAGGAGAGGACTCTTTAAAGTAGAGACACTACATACTGATATACACCTGAACATCAGCAGGAGAGGACTCTTTAAAGTAGATACACTACATACTGATATACACCTGAACATCAGCAGGAGAGGACTCTTTAAAGTAGAGACACTACATACTGATATACACCTGAACATCAGCAGGAGAGGACTCTTTAAAGTAGAGACACTACATACTGATATACACCTGAACATCAGCAGGAGAGGACTCTTTAAAGTAGAGACACTACATACTGATATACACCTGAACATCAGCAGGAGAGGACTCTTTAAAGTAGAGACACTACATACTGATATACACCTGAACATCAGCAGGAGAGGACTCTTTAAAGTAGAGACACTACAT